GTTCTCTGCCTACTCATTCCCTTTCCCCCCAATTTTGGCAAAGACTAATCTTTTTATTTTCTCCCTGTCTTCATAATTTTATGAGAGGCCATTATAACTCCAAAGGTTTTTTTTTGATTTTCTACTTTGTACTAGATGGGAGGTATGGAATCATGGTGAAATAATAGAGTCAACCCCTGCCCCCCCAACTCCAGCTAAGAGGTAGGGACAGAAAAAATACAAGCAGACAAATGAATAAAATAATTACAATATAATTGAAAGAGGTGCTGAGAGAGAAGGGAGGCAAGGCTACTTTACAGGGAGCACAGAGATGACACATAAGCTAAAACCCCAGGATGAAGTTGGATAGTAAGAGTGATAGAAGATAAAAAAAAAAAAAAGCAGAGACTTGGAATGTGTAAAATCTCAGAGCCAGGAAGGAGTAGGATTATCTGAGGATCTGAGAGCTCCAGGGACTAGTTCTTTGTAAAGGTCTTTGTATAATGCTAGAGAGGCCATGGGGAGTTCAGTTTTGCTGGCCTGATAGGTCCTGATAAGAAAATGAGATTTTACTCCATTTGTTGTAGAAAGTTTCTAAAGGCTTTACCGAGAGGAGTAACATTATCTCATCATGTTCTAAGAAGCCTACATTGAGGTTTTACCCTTTGCTTTATCATTTATCCTCTCTCCCTCTACAATTTTTTTCCATATGGATATAAGTTACATGCAACTTGACTAAATAATTTAGCTTGCTTTTATGAAAAATGGAGACACTCTGTTTTTTTTAATACTTATCAATATCATGAATTTATATCAACACAATATTTTTATCTAATATGCCATCCATTTTCCATTTTAGTTTGTTGGTCTAATGGTGCTCTTTATAAAAGCATTTTGCCCCCTTCAGGATCCAATCTGGGGTCAAGTATTGCATTTAATTATCATGATTATTCAGCTTTCTTTACTCTGGAACATTTCTAGAGACCGTATTTTATGATGTCAATGTTTTTGAAAAACAGTTTCTTCCCTTCACTATTTAAACAATATGTACCTTATTTTGTGTTTGTGTGACATTTCTCTGGGATTACACAGGGGTTATGTATTCTAGGAATGAATTCTGTGTGATGGATTATGCCTTCTTTTCAATGTTACATCTGGAGACTCATGAAGCCCACCTGTTCCTTATAGATGATGTTAATTTTGATCACTTATCAAGGTATTGCTTGATTTCTTCATTGTGTGATTAATTTTTGATTTTCCCTTGCACCTAACAAAGAGTCTGCAGGGAGATGTTTTAAAACCATGCAAATATCCTGCCACTTTTCAAAACTGGCCCCTAGGTTGAGCATGACTGTTGCCTGACTTAATCTTTACTCTGAAGTTGGCAAACTGATGATTTTCTAATGCTCTAATTCTACATTTATCTCTGCATTTCCCATTTTGTTCTGGGCATCAGTCTATAGTTTATACACTGAGCTTCTTGCTTCTTTCCTGTTTTTCTTCTATTTTCTGTCTTCTATTTTCTTCTGATTTATGAATTCCCATATTTTTGGTGGTTTATTTTTTTATTTCTTATTTTTTAATATTTTATTTTTAGTTTTCGGCGGACACAACATCTTTGTTTGTATGTGGTGCTGAGGATCGAACTCGGGCTGCACGAATGCCAGACGAGCGCGCTACCACTTCAGCCACATCCCCAGTCCTTTGGTGGTTTATGATTCATTGTCATATTAATTAATTTTGGTTTACAAGTAGTACCAGTTTGGCCAGTGGGAACATCTTCAAGGTCATTCCTGCGTCCTTGTGACATGTTCAGACCATTTTTGTGGGGAGCCCTTCCCTAATTTCCAGTAAGACAAGCTGTTCCAGGTTTATCTTGAATCTGTATCCCAGTCCTGGAGTGACCTTTCTCCTAGGAGTCCTGGTTCTTTTAATGGGTAAATATCAAGACCTTAATGCTATGTGTCATCATTGCTACTGGGTATCTTTTCTTGACTCCTCTGGCATTAAAAGTTAGTAAATATATTCACATGTATACAACGTGCATGCATATACTTGCATTTGTGTGTGTGTGTGTGTATACAGAAGCATACTCATAAACATTTTATAAATCATAGGTTTACACAAATCCATCTCAGTCCAAGCTATCCCCATAGGATTGTTTCTTTTCTACTCTCATTCCATATTTGCATCTTTCTTATACAATGAGAATCATAGATCCCAGTATTGACACATTTACACTCACTCAGTCTTAGAGCATATAAAAACTAGCTTCAGAATTCTTTTTTTTCCAACATCACTACAATACAAAAACCTTCTGAAAAGAGTTCAGCATTTGTTTACAATCCATCTAAGATTGTGGATTATAGTTAGTTATTTTTTTCTCCCTCTCCATCACCTTTCGTTTGGTTATAATGGTCATTTGAATTAAAGTTAAGTTTGTTGTCTACTTAAACTTACTCTCTTTTCATGTCTATTGATTTAGTTTTTGAATATGCAGAATATTTATATACCTTCAAAAGTCAAAGCTATACAAAAGGATACACCCAGAGAAATCTCTCAGAGGTCCTCACAGCTCATTTCCCCTCTCCTGATCCCTTGTAGGTAGTCATCATTGCTTGTTATTCTATTTCTTTTTGCTATGCAGTAGATAAATGCATTTCCCTTCCCTTGGTCCCTCAGAGATGAACATAATTGCTTTCTAATTTATTCTTCTATTCATTTTTATAATGATAAGTAGGTGTACATGTGCTTTCTTCTCTTTCTTACATAACATATAACATACTATATATGTTCTTATCACTGCACAGTATTCCCTGGAAACCATCCCATATCAGTTTTTAGTAATCTTCCTAATTCTTTTTGACAGCTGCAGAATGCTCCATTGTGTTTGCACCACAGCTAACTGAACCAATATCCTATGCAGTATTTTATAATTACAGATAAACCTCCATTGAATTTTTGTGATATGCATTTTTATTCTTAGCAAAGTATCTTTGGAATAAATTTCTAAAAGTGGGATTGCTGCGTTAATGACCCTTCATATGGGTGGATTTTACATCCATGGATTCAACCAACCTTGGACTGAAAATATCTAAAAAGAGTCGCATCTGTACTAAACATGTACAGACTTTTTTCTTGTCATTATTCCCTAAACAATATAATATGATGACTATTTACATAGCATTTATGTTATATTAGAGATGATGGGTAGATGATATGCAAATACTATACCATTCTATATAAGAGACTTAAGCATCCATGGGCTATCTGTGGTGGAAGGAGGTCCTGGAACACAAACCACCATGGTATTGAAGGACAACTCTATGTAGTTTCATTAGGGTGTTGCTATTGGTTTATCTTGATGTCCTTGTCCTAGATTGTTTATTGAAAATTTATTTTCATTCTTTTGTTTTTATCAATATAGGTGTTAGATACAATTTTTTTCTCTAGTCTATATATTCCATAGAATTGTAATCTTTTCATTATTATCATCTTAACTAAATTCTGTACTTTCTCTGTTTTTCCTTAAAACAGAGTTCTTTAATAGATGGTTTTTAAATTTCCACATGGAAGTTATGGAACCTCCTTCTGGGAGCTTCTTGGAATTCCAGTTAACTTAATCAGATTAGCTCAATTAACTCATTCCCTAGCTTCTTTTCCCGAACTGCTTCTGCTCCTAGAGTGGCCTTTGTCTACCTTTCCACCTTTCTTATTTCACCCAATCTTTATTTTCTGAAGTATTGCTCTTGTTCTTAACTACACCAGTCCAAGCTAACTCTCTCATTTCAGAATTCTTATGGCATTTATCACCTGTATCAAATCATCTGACATGTTCAATTAAATTTTACTAAGGTCTAAAGGCATCATACACTCAGACTTCAGATTGTTTGGGAGATTGAATCCAAACTGTCATGCAGTAACTGTGCGAACTTGGTCAAATGACATAGTCTCTCTGTGTGTCAATTTCTCCAGCTACAAATGGATATGATAATAGTATCTCCTGAGGTGAGGATCTAAGAAGTTGTTATCTGCAAAGATCTTAGAACAGTGCCAAAATTCTAAGCTTTAAGAATAACAGTAGGGGCTAGGGTTGTGTCTTAGTGCAGAGCACTCACCTAGCACGGGCAAGGCCCTGGGTTTGATTCTCAGCATCACATAAAAATAAATAACTGAATAAAAAATAAAGGTATTGTGTCCAACTACAACTAAAAAAAAATAAATATTAAAAAGAGAATAATAAAAATCAATTCATGGGCTGGGGTTGTGGCTCAGCGGTGGAGTGCTCACCTCCCACGTGCAAGGCCCTGGGTTCGATCCTCAGCACCACATAAAAATAAATAAATAAAGTTTAAAAAAAATCAATTCATGTTTCTGCCATAACAAGTTTCATGCTCATGGATGTAGGGTATACAAAGGGTATGTGGCATTTCCCTAGACTGGAAGAGCTAGCAATTTCATGCTGGTCAGATTTAAATTTTTTGTAGAGATCTTCTATGTGCGCTTCTGGGGTGGCCTTTGCCCCTTAAACATCCCTGGCATGAAGGTTAAGGTCGATTCTTAATGGCTACTTTTCAGAATCGGTTTCGAGATGCAAAGGATGGTGACTGCAAGAATTCCAGAGAAAAGAAAACCAGGGAAAAATCCATTGAAATGGGATATGTTGGCCTTGCCAAAGTATTGGAGGATTTGGTCAAGTGACATAGCCTCTCTGTCTCAATTTCTCCAGCTATAAACAGAATCATTTCAACATAAAAACAGGGTTTGCAGGTAGCACCTGGACATGGCAGTGGCCCCATCGCCACTGTCCAGGCCCAAGCCATAGGCCCCAACCCTGTAGGACCTCGACACTCGGTCCCGCCCCTCTCACCGCCCCGCCCCCGGCGGTGTGTCCGGCCTTGGCCCCGCCTCTCGACCCGCCTACGCGGCGCGCGGGGCTGTAGCCCCGCCCCGTGGCTTGCCCTGGACTGAGTCTCCCTGTCGCCCCGGCCGCAACCGCTAACTCCCCGCGGGGCGTGGGTCCCTGAAGGAGCCGGGCGCCATGGCAGCTGAGGCCCTGGCGGCTGAGGCCGTAGCTTCGCGCCTGGAGAGGCAGGAGGAGGACATCCGCTGGCTGTGGACCGAGGTCCAGCGCCTGAGGGACGAGCAGCTGAACGCGCCCGATCGGTGCCAGGCGGAGGGGCCGTGCCTCACGCGGGAGGTGGCGCAGCTCCGGGCCGAGAACCGCGACCTGCGCCACAGGCTGTATCGCCTGCGGCTGTGCCTGGCGGAGGAGTTGAGCCATCAGGCCAAGCTAGAGAGTGCGGCGCGGGCGGCTGCGGCGCACGGGGAGGCCGAGCGCGCGGCTGCGGGCGCGCAGGTAACAGGGAGGCCCGGACTCCGGGGGGCGGATTGTGGGCTGGCGCTGCGGCGCCGCCGCCTCCACGGACCCGCGACCCGCTACCCGCGACAGTGCTCACTTAGCGGTCTTCAAGTCTGGAAGCGCAGGTGCAGGCCGGGGAGTGGGGGGTGTGCTGCAGGGTGTGTCCACGAAGGCGCGCTGCCCAGCCGGCCCAGCTCCCTGAAGGGGTGCCCCCAGCCGGGGTGCCTCGGCCTAGCTCGTGGTCACGCAGCGTGTGCTCGGCCCAGGTGCCCTACTCAGTCCTCCTGCAGCGGTCCCAGAACCGCTAGATTTCCAGCAATCACCAAATTGACCCGATGGTTTAATTTCTCAGCTATTCTATTAAAGAGCCTGCCATACATATTTTCCTAATAGCTGAAATAGCATTTTCATTTGTATGAAAAAAAAGGGCCGTGGTGCTTAACATTCGTTATTCTTTCCTTGGGCATAAAGATCAACAAACAGTTCTATTCCCTCCGGTAGCAGGTGGTTTTGATTTTTTATTTTCTTGTTTTGGGAATCTATCTTAAGAGAACTGTATACTTAACATTGAATACAGTATTTTGGTATTTTAGTTCATAAAAGGACAAATCATCTTCATGTAAAACAATAAACTTAGTTCTGAAGGCTTTCTCAAACTGTGAGATGTTCTTCCCGTTCTTTGCACCGTTCATGAAGATTTTGGGTACAAACAAGTTTAGCGGGAAATGTTGAAGAAAATATATTAAATGTGCTTATAGCAAGAAGAGCAGACTGAAGAAGGACTGAACTCTGGAAAACAACTTGCCCGTTATAGGTTGTAGGTAGTGGTTGGGAGAGCCCAGCTCTGAACCTTTAAGCATGGGCTCTTGCAGTCCCCCTTCTTCCTCAGGTTTCAATGTGTTGTTCTTACTTATCATTGGCATGAGTTGTTTGTAACTTATCTTTCAGCCTCCTTCTAGTCAAAGCCAAGAAAAGGACATTAAAAAGGAGAAATTGAAGGAACATGGACCTGACAGTGAGGTAACATTGCTATGGAAACAATATAAAATACTACCTGTAATTTAAAATATGTATAGGCAGATTTTTTATAAGAACATAATTATTAGTTAAATTATTATTTGAGATGTATTTAAGACTGTTGAGCCTTAGCTATGAGATGTTAAGGCACACTATATTTAAACAGCACTTAGTCTAAGTTGGGATAGTAGAGCTCTTACTTTGTATTGAGGAAACCGGCTACTCTGCTTTTTAAATATAAATCATTAAAACAACCAGACAATATTCATTGAGCATTAACAATTGATAGATGTAAAGGAGGAATACCTGGCCTCAAAGAGAATAATCTGGTTCACAAGTTGAGATAAACAAAGGAGAACCAACTAGAGAATGAAATGAGATGGTACATTTGTCCCCTCTGTATCCATGGGTTCTGCATTCACAAATTCAACAAACTGTGGATTGAAAATGTTTGGAAAAAAATTGTGTCTGTATTAAATATGTACAGACTTTTTGGTCATTATTTCCTAATGTACAACCACTATTTATATGGTATTTATATTGATAGGTGTATTTTAAGTAATCTGGAAAGGATTTAAGTATATAGGAGAATGTGTGTAGGTTATAATCAAATACTATGTTATTTAAGAGACTTGAACATCCTCAGATTTTGGAATCCATAAGGCTCCTGGAATCAAATCCCAATGAATACAGAGGGATGGCTGTATATTAATGAGTGGTGTATTGTGTGCCACTTCATACATGTGCTGTGAATAGTGAAAAGGGAGAGGCCGGAAGGTGTAAGAGTTAAAGGTGGCTGGCTTAGAACTGGACTGTAGAGCTAAGGAATTCGATAAGTGGAAAGGAGTCTTCTGAAGGGGGAAGTAGAGAGACAAGAGAGTACATATGTATGCTGAGAAGGCAGTGTGGGGTGTGGAAATGATTTAGAGCTGAGCAGCTAGCAATACCTGGACTGTGTTTGTTAATCTCATTTTATTCTAATGATTTTCAGGTGAAACAACCAAATTTTATAAAAGAAAGGCTGGAACTTTTTGAAACCTTGAAGAAAGAACATCAGCTTTTGCATGCTATGTGTGAAACAAAGGAGAATGCAAGCAATGTGATAGCAGTAAGACTGGCTGATGGGAAAACAGTGGAAGGGGAAATTTGGAAAACAACACCATATAATGTGGCTGCTGAGATTAGGTAAAAAAAAATACATATTATAAACCTAATATATAGACAAATATAGATAGAAAAATAGTTTGGAGAAGATATTAAATAGTAAGCAATTGTACCAGAGCCTGGTAGAATGTTTTTCTAGGGGCTGATAAAATATTTGTTTTCCTCATTCAGTTGAATAAATTAAATGTAATGAATTTTTTCCTATTGGCTTCTAAGAAGGTCACTTGATTAAGTTTATGAATATCAGAACACAATCTGTTCTTTTATAAAAGACCCAAATTTTAAAGTTATAAAAATATATAGTAGAGAAAAAAAAATTTGTACTCCTTGACAGGCCACACACTGACTTTATTCATTACTCAAATGATTTCTCTGAAATTTTTACAGGTCCTTTTAGATTGGAGATGTACGTGTTCTAGCTGTTATTAGTCCTGGAATAGTTCTTGGTCTTTCTAGAAATTAGATATATTACTGAAGTTATACTGTTTTGGTTGATGTTAATTTCTAGCATTAAATACAATTATATGAAACTATAACCCAAAATTTCCATGTTAATACAATTTTATTATTTAAAAAACAAATCAGACCAGGTGCAGTGGTGCATGCCTATAATCCCAGTGGTTCAGGAGGCTGAGGCTGGGGGACTGTGAATTCAAAGCCAACCTCGGCAACTTAGCATGGCCCTAAGCAACATAGCGAGACCCTGTCTTAAAATAAAATATATTAAAAAAAGGCTGGGGATGGGGTTCAGTGGTTAAGCACCCTGTGTTCAATCCCTAGTACCAAAACAAAACAAAACAAAACAAAACAAAAAAACAGTTTCAGCAGTTGAAATCCTCAGATTTCTTTTGAAAGCTATCTATGGCTAAGGTATTTCTGTTTCAGCCTTTATCATGTACCCTTCTAACCCAATTCCATGTTTTCCAGGAGAGATGATGTGCTAGAGAAAAATGGATTTTGAGGCAAAAATGATATATTTTCTCATGGGGAGTCAGGTTTCCCATTAATGTGTTTCAGCAATTCTCAAGTGTGGTGCCCAGACTAGCAGAATTGTCATTATCAGGGAACTTGTTAGAACAGCAAATTTTTGCAACCCCCTTTCAATCTCTTGATTCAGTCAGCTGTCTTGTTTTTATGAGCCCTCCAGTAGCTTCTGATGCATGCTAAAGTTTAAGAACCACTGAATTAGGCTAAACTGTTGCAGCAGAGACCCCCTAAAGAAAGTGGCTTAAGTAAAGTGTTGGACTTTCTCATGTAACAGTCTTCAAATGACCAGGCAGATCTGGTGGACATCTCTGGCCCATGAAATCATTTATGCACCCAGGTTCCTTCTGTCTTGGTGATTTGCTGGGTCCTATCTGTGGGCCTGTGTACAAACAAGAAAGGGGAGAGTGAAGAACAGTGATGCTTTGGAGTCAAGTTCCCCTAGTAGCATACTTCAATTTCCACTTGCATCCTATTAGCTCACATTTAGTCATATGACTACACCTAGCTATAAGATAGAATGGAAATTAGTGCTGGCTAGCATGTGTCCCACTGAAATTCTTTTACCTTGGAAGAAAAAAAAATGGCTTATAGGAAAACAGGCAGTCTTTCCCAGTCAATCCCTCCAACATCCAGATATCTGTGTGTGGTCTTCTTTCAACATCTGGCACTCACCCCTTTCCTAGGTGAGACGACAACTCCAGGCCCTGTAGCTCAAAGCTCACAATTTCTATGTGATGTGCAGAATACCCGCCCTGTCAGGCTGGCTACTGCATCCTAACAACAAATAATAATAGACAAATCTTCTTACACCATATGTATACAATAAACAAGAAAACCACAATTAAAGTGTCTGTTTGGACAAAAAGGAGAAATACAGGAGGCATTGCTTTACAGAATTCTTCTGATTCTGCTCACAATTGTTATGCCCACAGTGCTGGACTCAGCCCATCTGGTCACCTTTTGTGCTGTGGAAGAAGCTTCCTCATCCACAAACTTGTAGGCCCTGATTTTGTTCTTTGGGAAGTTCACAGTTGTCTCTTTGCCCTTGTTTCCCAAATCTGAATTGTGGGGAAGTTTGTCCCCTTGGGGGCTGTCTAGTTTGCACAGCCTAGTTCTTACAGGTGCACTTTGGGGCCTGAGAGTCCCTTTTAAGATCAGTCACTAGCGTTTGTAAACGGGGCTTGTAGTTGGGTTGGTGATAGAATTCCCTCAAACAGTTAACTGTAGTAAGCTTCGGGTCTCTTTGCTGCTAATCAGTTGACATGAAGGTCATCTCATTTAAAGACTCCTTTTAGACAAGAGATTCCTTACCTTCAGTTTCTTGGCTTTTGTAGTTGGCTCATTCCTTTCTCCCTTAGTTGAATGGACTGAGCTCATGGAAACAACAGGCTTGTGGGAGGGCAGCACCCTTACTCTCTAATACAGTTAGGTCCCTATTGTCTGTCTATGTGTGGCCTTTGAGAAGGGCTGTCAGTTCCCCTTCTTCCTGCTGTTTGGGACAGAAGATTATCTTTCAATATTGTACAGCCCCACATTTTCTGGACTCTTAATCAATTTGAATTTTAGGTCAGAGAAGAGAACCTTCCTTGGCGAAGCCCTGTCCATTCCATCTGACATGCGAGTTTCTCATTCTAGTACTATCTTGGTAAAAGCATCAGGAATTATCCAGTACCCTTTTATACTTATTTCCTCACACACTGTTGTAACACATGGTTTACCTGCAAGTTCTTATCAAATATTTTGTAATGCCATATAAAGGTTGTTGGTTTTCCAATATCCTTATATCTATTTCCTTGTAACCTCTTGCCCCTCTGCCAAGCCAGTGCCACATGTTTTTGTTTTTTTTTAATTACTTGCAAGCCCTTATTTCTGTATTAGCTAAAACATAGGCTAAACTGCTACAAGACATCAGAAAGAACTCAGTGGCTTAAATATAATCAAAGTCTCTTTCTCATAAGGCAGTCTGGAGGTGAGTGGTCCATGTTGCCAGGTCAGCACTTCTCCACAAAGTCATTTGGAAATCTAACTTACTTCCATCTGATTTCCATGGTCCAGAAGTAACAGCAGCATGTGTGTTCCAGTCCATAGGAAACAGAAAGGGTGGAGAAGTGCCCTCTTCTGTCTTAAGGCTGAGATGCAGAAGTGGTACATGTCAGTTCTGCTTGTATTTGTTGGCCCTAGTCATGGTCTCATGGCTACATTTAGCTGCAAGGAAAGCTGGAAAAAGTGTACAATAAGGGGACCAATGGATTTGAAGAAATTTTTTTAGTTTATCACAACTAGCAATATGAAAATAAAATTCTATTTCATTAGTAACAATATCTAACATTCATTAAGTTAACATAAGTAATCTTTTAATTCTCAGTATAAATATATGAGGAAGGCACCATAATTCCTATTTTATAGATGAGAACACTGAGACTTAGAGAAGCTGAGTAAATTGTCCAGAGTTTAAATCCAGGTTGGCCTCATGCTAGAGTGTGGGCTCCCAGCCACAAATGCAGTACTGCTGCCCAAGGTAATCACAGAAATGCCAATTAAAACATGACATTGTAGAGAGGATATAATTTCATAGTACCTAACATTATGAGAGTAGAGACAAGGTACCAACTCTGCTGGTAGGAAAATTTGGCAATATATTCCAACATAAATCATTAAAAATGTGTTTCCCTTGACATAGTAATTTTACTTGGAGAACTTTTCCTGAGAAAATGCTTGGGTACTAAGATGTGTGTTCAGGAATTTTCATTGCAACTGACAAAACAATAGTAACAAAAAACCAAAACCCACAAAAAATTAACCAAAATGTTAGCTAATCTTAGTTTTTCTGCAACTGTTAAATAGCATATTTTAGAAGTCTGTCTACCGTTATGGACAATGCTGTGATTTATTTTTAATCTTAAGAAGTAGGTTACAAAATAACATACATAATGATAATTTTAACTATTTTATATTGGTGTATATATGGAAAAGCATGGAAGGATAAAATCGAATAAAATATTAACTGGAATTTCTGGGTGGTGGGATTATATATATATATTTTTTTCCTTTGTGCTGTTCTGTGTTTCCCAGGTTTCTTCTCTTAACTTTTTGTCAATATTCCAAACAGTAAGTGTTACTGAAAAGAAGATCAATACCTTAGTAGAAAAAAGGCAGAGAAAATGGACAGTTCATCACAATTAAAATTAGTCATCAAAGAAATCAAAACTTTCAACATCACATTGACAGATTTAAATTTTTTTCCAGGGTGCAAGGAATACACTCAGATGATGTTTATCAGAAATCTATTATGCCTGTTGACATAGCATCCTCTTCTGTGAACTTATTCACAAAAGATTCAAAGATGCATGTGTAGGGATGTCTATGTGGTGTGCTCTGTAAGAGCAAAACTGCAGGTGGCCTCAATGTTCAGATTTGGAGGTTTTGTTAATAAATATAATATTTCTAGGCTGCTTTGGAAGTCTAATGTGTGGCAGTGAAAAAGCGGGGTATAAAATTATGGTGGCAACTGTTTTTTTTAAGAAGTGGAGAAGGGGCAGATACAGGAGAAAAACTAGCCAGTCATGTACCCCAAATGTTTTAAGAGTTATTCCTGGGTAGCGATATGTATGTGGGGTTTTAATTTTATTTTTTGTTTCCTAAGTTTTAAAAATAGTGAACATATATGACTTTTATACATAAAATAATTGTTATAAAGAGGTAGCTGTCCTGGTAGTTTACATTTGCAATTTCTATCCACTTTCCAAAAAAAAAATTGAAATTATTTTAATCTTTTCTTCTAATAACTCATTATAGCATGTAATAAGGTTAATTCCCAAGTGCTTTTCTCTTACTAGTCAAGAACTGGCTGAAAACACAGTAGTTGCCAAGGTAAATGGTGAATTATGGGACCTGGACCGCCCATTGGAAGGAGATTCCACTCTAGAGCTGCTGATGTTTGATAATGAGGAAGCTCAAGCTGTAAGTATTTTAACAACCATCCAAACAATCTTTGGGCATTTATGTTGTAAATTGCATTGGGGAAGAGACCAGGTATTCAAGTAAAGAATGATGAATATTTTGGCCTTTTAAGATTTAAAATTATAATATGGTATTTAATAGATATTTAATAAATATTTGTATATATACAAATAGATATCATTTTTTTAAGGAGCCCATATTTACCATTTCTTAAAATAGTTGTTTTCCTAAGTTAGAATATTTTAACTGTTAAATAATGTGTATTTGAAATGAATTTTAGGCCTGGGAATGTAATTCAGTGGTAGAGTAGTTGTCTAGCATATATGAGGCCTTCAGTTGAGTCACCAGCATCAGAATATATGCAAAAGCAAAAAGATCATGCCATTGTGATTGGCTGAAAATGAAGTGAATTCTATTAGATTTAAAAATTCATATATAGGGTTGGGGATATAGCTCAGTTGGTAGAGTAATTCCTTGCATGCATAAGGCCCTGGGTTCAATCCCCAGCACCACCAAAAGGGAAAAAAGTTCCAATTACAAATTCATCTATATTATAATTTAATATATGTGAGGAGTTTGGAAAAAATTATCAAAACTCAGGGACTGGGATTATAGCTCAGTGGTAGAGTACTTGCTGAGCACATGCATGGCACTGGGTTTGATCCTCAGCACCACATAAAAATAAATAAATAAAACAAAGGCATATATATATATATATCTCCTCAGATATCCTCTATTTGTTACTATAATTTTCTATAAAATAAATATCAAAGTTTTATGTAGGGTCTCTGATATACCTTAACTTTTGCAATATCTTTTCAAGTAGTTCATTATCTCCATTTAAAACCCAACCTATGGCTAACTTAGGTTATATTAATTGTTATGCGTACACTAAATTTCTTAATCTGAACTATGAGAACTGTATTATAAATATGTTTCTGTTTAAAATATGCAAACTATAACCAGTGAATAGTTAAATAGTACAATATTAAGGAAACCATTTTTAAAAAGTGATTCAGAAAGTACAAGTTTATAAACTGTCAACTGTCATCTCTCTATAGCTAGACAATGCCTGTGTGGTGTCTCCATTTAGACACTGTACAGGAATCTTTTGTTCAGTGCATTCACTGTGAAATTCTTGATTCTAACTTTTTTTCCTTGTTTGCCCATCTCAGTGTAGTACTCTACTACATACTCAGTTTTCTAAATCCAGAACCTTGGAAGTTATGTGTAATTATTTTCCTTGCTCACTTTTAGTCTTCAGCTTATGGGAAAGCCCAGTAGATTATACTGGAATCTGTCCATTCTCTCCATCACCATTGCCACTACCTGGGAGTCTGTTATTCCACCATCCAAGAAACTGCCTACTTGATGTTTCTTCCCTTGAAATCCATTCCCATACAGCTATAAAACTATGTTTTAAAATGTTTATTGCTTATTTCTCTCCTACTAGGCTGTATCTGTATGAGGGCAATGGCTAAATCTCTTTCTTTCACAGTCATCTTCCCAACACTGAACACAACAAATATCAACAAATATCTCAGTGTGGACAGTGCCCCAAAGAGGAGATTTGGACTTGGCACTCAGCCTGCTGTCCAGTAGCAACCACAAGAGGGTTGCTTAGCCTCAAAGGCTAGTCTCTGGGTCTGTTCGCAGAACATGTACCAACCTTTTGCTGAGGTCAGGATTGTACATAGTTACTCAGTCAGCTAACTCTGTCTGCTCTGATTTATTTTATCAAACAGCTTTCTAATTATAATTTACTTTTCTGTTTAATAAAGGGAAGAAGATACAGACAGAAGACTCAATTATCTTACACCTTTGGCACTTATATTTTTTTTTATTTATTTATTTATTTTAAGTTGTAGGTGGACACAATACCTTTATTTTATTTACTTATATGTGGTGATGAGAATTGAACCCAGGGCCTCACACATGGTAGGCGAGTGCTCTACCGCTGAGCTACATCCACAGCCCTGTCACCTATATTTATTTGGTGACTTGGTTTTAGTTTACCAATAAACTATTGATAAACTAATTCTTGATCCATAAACTAAGCTAATTTAGTTAATTTTAGTTAACTCATAAACAAATTCCTTGGGAATTTGAAACTAAATCAACTTGCTGAACTTTTAGGACTGATAACCTCCTTTTGGTGAATTAACCCACATTTACACTGCTCACGGATCTCGGGGAATCAGCGGGTATTTCGGGGAAGACCTTTTTCTTCCTGAGCTATCTTTTAGATTTCCACAGATACAGGCTATTTAGCATGTAAAGATTGCTGTGAAGATACAGAAACTTGTTAACTTTAGTGATGTCCCAAACAGCCACTTGAGTTGTCTGTATCCAGCTCTAGAGAGGCTGCCTTGAAGAAAAAGGAAGGGAACTGGTACCTGGCACTCAACAGCTTTCTTCTCTCTCTTGGATTTCCATGTGGCCACTGTGCTGGGTGATCCTAGTGCAAGATCTCCTTCCCCACAGTTCTGTGTACAGAAGGAAATGATGTAGTAGTTGCATCTTAGCTGCAGTGCTCAGCAGAGTAGCTTTACACAACACCTGAGCACATGGCTCTTGTGGAATGCCAAGGAGGATGCAGAAAATAGTCCTTGTAAGTGGACATTGAGGATTCTGTTTTTACATGTCTTGGCATTTATCCCCTTCAAATTTATCCACTTGCTTACTCATGCTGCTCTACCACTTATGTCCCATGATATAATTCAGATAGCTAATAACTTCTCTGTACACAGGTATACTGGCACTCCAGTGCTCATATTCTTGGGGAGGCCATGGAAATTTACTATGGAGGCCACTTGTGCTACGGCCCACCCATCGAAAATGGATTTTATTATGACATGTTCATTGGAGACAGGTAACACTGCACAATACTCGCATGTGTTTATATTTCGTTGTTTTATAATGGTTGCGTATTAGCTTAGTCATATATTTTGCACAGTGTGGTGATAAATTGGTTAACCACTTGTGAAAATTATCTTTTAATGAGGTTAGATTCAAGGGTAACTTCTCATGTTTTCTCTCTTTTCCCCAGAAGGACATGATAAGGACATGTAATCTGGGGCTTGCTAGAGTATGCTACTAATTAAGACAAAAATCACAAACTTAATTCCTAGAAAGCAGTTAATCAGTTCTGCTCCATGGTAAGGGTGCTGTCACCTTCAGCTTCAGCCAGTCATCTCACACATTTGAATGACAGATAGGAATGGCTCACACAGACCTCACATTCCATAGGTCTGTGCTTGAAATCATTAGCAATTGGCCCTGCCCTTGTCCACCTCCTGCTCTGTATTCCTCAGAGTTCTTAAGGGTACCAACAGCTGACAAAACTGAAACCTTGGATCCTTTCAGTTTCCCCCTACTCCTTACCACCACCCTATTATTGAGCGGCTCAATCTAGTTGTGCCAGTTTTATCTCCTAAATAGTTTTTCTGTCCTCTCCTCTTGTTTCTTTCTCTACTTTGGGTGAGTACAGTACGTTTCGACTTTGTCACCCCCACACTGCTTACTGACCTCCGTAACTGAGCACATAGCAATCTGTAGCTTCTGTTTATAAACTTTGTCTTGTCTGAACAATTTTTACTCATAAGTGTGAACTGTGTTTATCTACAATACCTCTCATCCCAAATGTGTGGGTTTTCTGCACACCAACAACTGATTTGCCAACTTCAGGACACTAGCTGAGTGTTCAGCAATTCAGTGGAATCCTGACCCTACCCAGACTTAGGCAAAACCCCAGGTTAAGGCTCAGTCCCACAAGGCTGCTCCCACTTGAGACGCAATTCCAAGTCCACACTGCCCACAATTTTGACTCACTGGCTATAAATTGAGTTTTCATGTCCCGCTCCTTGCGTTCACCAGTTTGCTAGAATGGCTCACATAACTGAGGATGGTACTTAAGTCTACTGGTTTATTGTAAAGGTTATTATACAGAATGTAGGTGAACAGCCAGTTAAAAGATGCACAGGGACTGTATGTAGCAAGGGATGCAGAACTTCCATGCCTCTGGCTCTTTCACCTCCTAGCACCTTTTTCTGTTTGTCAGCTGGAAGCTCTCTCAACCTTGTTGTTCAGAGATTTATAATGGAGGTTTTGATATGTAACCCTGTTTGATGAAATCATTGGTTTCTGATGATGAGCTCACATCACCAGCTACTCTCCCCTTCCTGGAGGTTGGGAGTTAGGGCTAGAAGTTCCAACCCTCTATGCCCTGGTCTCCCTGGCATCAGCCCCATCTGAAGCTGTCTGGAGCCCTCAGTCATCTCATTCATACACAGAAGACACTCTTCTCACTCCAGAGATTCTATTATATCACATCCAATGTCATCTCTTGTCACCAGCACTACAAGCTCATTTGTTCAACATAGTTTTTCTGACTGCCTGCTGTATGCTTGTGCTTGGTGCTGGTGATTCAGAAGTGAACCAGTTTGTCTGTCCTTGTAGAGCTGACGGTCAGGCTGGGGGAATACAGACATACACAGCCATTTACCATCAAGTGGTGATGAGTATAGGAAGAAAAAACAGGTATAAGGAGATGTGTGCCATGTAGGCAGGAAGTCAGGTCAGAGTAGAGTGTCACTGAAGCAGAGGCCAGAATGGAGAGAGGAAACAAGCCCGAGGAAACTTGGCAGGGCAGGGGGAGGGCAGGCATTTGTGGACATCTGGGGGAAAACATTCCAGGCCTCTGTGGGCATACATGTGACTTGTTTGAGGAATGGCAAGGACACTAATAGGGCAGGAGGGGAGTGAATCCCCACCAGGAGCCAGTGGAAGGAGGTCAGTCCTTGCACGGTGATAGTGCTTGGGACTGTACTTCACACATGTCTTCCTCCCAGGTTAGATCCCACTGCCACTGAGGGCAGGAATGTGGTGAGCCCTTAATACAACTCTTTAGAACAAAAATATAAAAGCATGGAGTCTGAGGAAGACGACACAGGAGCAGGACTCAAAGGAGCTCACCATCTGGCTGGGGAGTCTTCTAACAGACTGTTCTCATGTCAGGTCAAAGGAAAGCTAAAGGTAGATTGCAGCATCAATTGATGCCTCAGCTTCCTTCTTAGAAATAAAGGCGTATCTGCTCTATGGATGAATGTCTGACTCAAGTCCTGGTACAACAGATCACCAACTGAATTCAGAATGTGTATCAAATATTGATAAAAGCTCCAGGGCAGCAGAGAGGGGGAATTACTCAGGGTCTGAAAGATCTGTACTGATTCTTGGGAACTCTCCTTTTTAGAGCAGTGTCCAGCACTGAGTTGTCAGCCCTGGAGGACATATGTAAAACCATCATAAAAGAAAAGCAGCCTTTTGAAAGATTGGAAGTCAGCAAGGAAATGCTTCTGGACATGTTTAAGGTAACTTGGGAAAACTCAGAATAAAAATCTTTTACTAGGAATATTAACAGAAATTAACATAGGTTAGCGTTTTTCTCTCCCACCCCAAATACCTGGCTGAACTCACCAAATTTTTCCGCATTCTGGGAACCTGTTATGAGGTTGTTCTGATCATTTGCTCTGCCTCTTTCCTCCTCATCTGTTTCCTAAAAAATTTCAGGCAGACATAGGTAGGTAAAGGGCAGGTAAATACTCTTCATATGTGTGTTTATAAAACTGATTAATTCTGAGTATCATTAATGCCTGATTACTGGGAATACTTATTCTATCTTATGGAATGAAGTGTCATCTGCTTCTACAATTGAAAATAAATTGTTATCTGCTCCAAGAATTGAATATAAAGCCAATTAAGAGTATTAAACTAGGGCTGGGGTTCTGGATCAGCGGTACAGCGCTCGCCTCGCATGTGCGAGACCCTGGGTTTGATCCTCAGCACCACATAAAAATAAATAAGTGAAATAAAGGTATTGTGTCCAACTACAACTAAAAAATAAATATTAAAAAATAGTATTAAATTAAAGAAAAATTGACTACTAAATTCAACAATGTTTGTAATCTCATACAAAATTATGTTTTTTTCTTTTTGGGGGCAGTTTTTTGTTAACTTTCTTTTTAATCCTAGGTCTGAGGGTGGTACCAAGTGGTTGCCTAGCATAGGCCCTGGGTTCTATTCCTAGCACTACAAAAAGAAAAAAAAAAGTTACAGCCTGTGTAAAACTTTTGAATAGTCTTTTTATATTTTTTTGACCAATTTACTTAAATATAATCCTTAATTTTATTTTTAAATCATATATATCAGAGAAAGTATATGTTTTGAAAGTATAGTTTTATTATAGTCTTGCATTAGAAATAGATTTGCTTTTTTAAATTTGCATTTAATTTTTTCACATGGCAAAATATATAAAATATAAAATTTATCATTTTAACCATTTTTCAGTATATAGTTCTTCAAGTACTTTTACATTCTGTAAACATCACCACCATCCATCCACAGAGCTCTTTTCATTTTCTAAGACTCTCTACCTGTTGAACTCTTAACTTTCCTCCCTGGGCCCCTGCAGGCACCATTCTACTTTCTGTCCCTGAGTTTATCTTTCTTTAGGAGCCTCATTTCTGGGGAAACATGTATCTGTCCTTTGGTGACTGGCTTGTTTCACTCAACATAACATCCTCAAGGTTGTCTGTGATGTAGCAGATGTCAGAATATTTTTCTTTTTTTGAGGTTGAATAAGATCCTTTTGTATGTGTATAGTAAATTTGTGGATTCTTGGGTTGCTTCTGCTTTTTGACTGTTTTTGTGAATAAAGCTGCTGTGAACATGGGTGTGCAAATTTCAGTGGGAGACACTGATTTCACCACATGGGGCATATACCCACAAATGGAATTGCTGGACCATATGTAAGTTCTATTTTATTTTGAGAACCTGTCATACCATTTTCCACAGGAGTACTGAGCCATTTACAATGTACAAGGGTTCCCATTTTTCCATATTCTTGCCAACAATTGTTATTTTCTGTTGTGTGTGTGTGTGATATTGTTGTTGTTTATAACAGCCTTTCTAATGGCTGTGAAGTGGTATTTCTTTGTGATTTTGATTTGCATTTCTCTAATGATAGTAATGTTGAACATCTTTTAATGTGTATCTTCTTTGGAGAACAAGTTCTTTGCCCATTGTTTTTATATTTTTTATTTTTTTTTATAATTGTAGGTGAACAGAATGCCTTTATTTGTTTATTTTTATGTGGTGCTAAGGTTCGAACCCAGTACGTCACACATGCTAGGCAAACACTCTGCCACTGAGCTATAGCCTCAGCCCTCTTTGCCCATTTTTGAATGAGCTTTTTGGTTTGTTGTTGTTGTTGTTGGTTGTGGTGGTGGTTTTAAGACAAATTTGTTATGCTACCCCGACTGGCCTCAAACTTCTAGGCTCAAGTGATCTTCTTGCCTCAGCCTCCTAAGCAGCTGAGACTATAGCACACCTCAGTCTTGTTTTCAGTTCCTTATGTATTAAGAATATCAGTCCCTTAACAGATACAGGATGTGCAGATATTTTCTTCCATTCTGTGGGTTGCCTTTTTCTTGGAGCTACTCAGGATCTAAATATATCAACGTTTGTGAAGGAAAATTATTTGGTTTGAACATGCAGGTATGAAACAGTTAAATCTTATAAATCTGGTCAGTTTGTTGTTCTCCTGACAACAACTCCTGTAAGAAGTTATTTAGTATAAGTACCTGGTGCTGTGATAATGGTGATAAAAGCAGAAAAAAAGGAAGAGGAAAAAATTACATTTTTTTAAATGTAATGACATTATTGCTTACCATAAATTTTGTTTTTGTTTTTATACAAGTCATAATATAGCTGCATCTTCAATTTATTTATTCTATGTAGTTAAAACTGGATCTTCAAGAACAGTGTTGGCTAGTAGAAATATAATGGAATCTTCAAATCTGAGCCACATGTTTAAAGTGGAATCTCAGATTTTGTGGCAGCTATGTTTTATAAGTAAAACAAAGGTGAAATTAACTTCCAATAAAATTTTACTTAACAGTATATTAAAAATATTGTTTCATCTGGGTATGGTGGTGCATGCTTGTGATCTCAGCAATTTGGGAGATTAAGGCAGGAATATCACAAGTTCAATTCCAACCTTGTCAGTTTAGTGAGATCCTGTTTCAAAATTTTAAAAAATTAAAGAAAAGGGCTGAGGATATAGCTCAGTGGTAGAACACCCTTGAATTCAATTCCTAATACTATAAGGGAAAAAAATCATTTCAACATATAGACAATATAGAAAATAATTAATGAACTATTTTACATTCTCCCCACCCCTACTATACTTCTGAGGTCCTGTGTGTTTTTCACTTACATCACATATCATTTCACACTAGTCATATGTTAAGTGTCCATTAACCATGTGGGCACAGGCTTCCACCCTGGAAGTATATCTATCTGCCATGAGCTCCCTGTGTCCTTAGTGTCTCAGCACCTCAAAAGTAGTAGACACTTTTTCAGTGTTACTTGAATTGATGCTTTTTTTTCTCTCATTTAATATTTTTTGTGTAACAACGTGTAAATATGTTTTTCTTTGTAGTATAATAAATTTAAATGCCGAATTCTGAAGGAGAAGGTCGACACTCCAACTACCACAGTTTACAGGTTTGTGTGCATAAATTTCAAACACTGCTCAGTAGTAAACTTGAAGGTGTTAGCAGTAGAAGCAGAATTTGTTTTCTGGGAAGTGGTCTATTTGTAAACCTTGCACAGCTGATGTACTACTATAGTAAGGACCCCCCAAATTTTAATACCAAGGGTAAATTCTTATTTTCTCCTTAGTAACTGAGATCAATTTTCATTTTTTGAATGTCAGCTGTAACAGGACCTTTCTCTTTAAGGATAGGACTATGTCAGCCTGGTCCCTTACATTTTTAGGAGCTATTGGGAAAAGAGCTGTTTCCTCCTTCTGCATTCTTAGTAACATGGTAATGGGAGCCATCCAGACCATCTTCTCACATTGTGCCCCCTGTTGTCCAGAGTTCAGGTGTATCAGCCTTCCTCTGTGAGCAGGGTATTCACAACGGGATGAAAAGGGAACTTTGGGAAGCGGCCAAGTCAGGGCTAAGAACTTAGTGGACTCAGTCCCAGGATCCCTCAGTTCTCGTAGTTTAACAGGAGTCTCTTGAGCCCTTTATAATTTATCTTTCAAAGCTGCCCCATGGGTAGTTGCTGTTCCCCATATTTGTGTGTTCCTGCTGTTTGGGTGCTGCTGGGATCGTCATGGTCCCATCTTAGAAGACCTAGTACCTATGTAATTACAATCACAAATCTCCTCCACCAGAGCATTATTTCCACAGTCAAGTGCATATCATTCTCTAAATCAGTTGTAGGATAAAGTAAATCATATTCCTTTGTGCAAAGCCATGCATAGAACATCTCTTAAATTATAACATGAACTCCTTGCCATTGATGTTGTATGGGATACAATAAAAGCAGTCCTTAGCAGGAAGAGTAAAGCAGGTGGCATCACTATATCAGACCTTAAACTATACTACAGAGCAATAGTAACAAAAACAGCATGGTATTGGCACCAAAACATACTGGTAGACCAATGGTACAGAATAGAGGACACAGAGACTTACCCACAAAATTACAATTATCTTATATTAGACAAAGGTGCCAAAAACATGCATTGGAGAAAAGATAACCTCTTCAACAAATGGTGCTGGGAAAACTGGAAATCCATATGCAACAAAATGAAATTAAACCCCTATCTCTCACCCTGCACAAAACTCAAAGTGGATCAAGGACCTAGGAATTAAACCAGAGACTATGAGTCTAATAGAAGAAAAAGTAGGCCTTAATCTCTGTCGTGTGGGATTAGTCCCTAAATTCCTTAATGAGACTCCTATACCGCAAGAGTGAAGCTAGCCAATCCCTAAAAAACAAATACCAAATGTATTCTTTGATATAATGAGAGCAACTAAGAACAGAGCAGAGAGGAAGAGCAGGAAGAAAAGATTAACATTAAACAGATACATGAGGTGGGAGGGAAAGGGAGAGAAAAGGGAAATTTCATGGTAATGGAGGGAGACCCTCATTGTTATACAAAATTACATATAAGAGGTTGTGAGGGGAATGGGAAAATAAACAAGGAGAGAAATGAATTACAGTAGATGGGGTAGAGAGAGAAGATAGGAGGGGAGGGGAGGGGGGATAGTAGAGGATAGGAAAGGTAGCAGAATACAACACTTACTAATAGGGCATTATGTAAAAATGTGGATGTGTAACCGATGTGATTCTGCAATCTGTATTTGGGGTAAAATTGGGAGTTCATAACCAACTTGAATCTAATGTATGAAATATGATATGTCAAGAGCTTTGTAATGTTTTGAACAACCAATAAAAAAAAAAAAACCAAGAATTGATAAATGGGATGGAATCAAACTAAAAAGTTTCTTCTAAGCAAAAGAAATAATCTGTGAGGTGAACAGAGAGCCTACATCCTGGCAGCAAATTTTACCCCTCATACAATCAGATGGAACACTAATCTGTAGGGTATATAAAGAACTCAAAAAGCTAAGCACCAAAAAAACCCAAATAACCCAATCAACAAACGTGTTTACCTTATTTTTGCCACTCTTCAATTACCTATAAGATTTTATTATTTATTACCTATCATTCAAATAAATATTAACACTAATATTTATTAGTGTTATTATTATTAATCATTCTTAACTTTAAGAATAAATGAAGATACAGAAAAGACAGGCTAAGTTTTTAAATTCTGGCTTCTAATAATTGACAAGTTGCATTTTTTAGAACCTATTTAGGTCTACATGGACACTTCTTGTGATTATTTAAAGATCAGGGTATCAAAAACTTTTATGATAATTTGGTATTCCTTCCTTTCCTCTGAACATGATTTTTTTACAACTTCCACTTTAGAGGACAGTACTCAAAGCTTTGTTTTTCAAAAAAAAAATTATATTTTCATGTTTACAGCTTCATTCTATTTGTAAGACTATAACTTAGTCACTTTTTGTCATTGTGATTTTTAACCTTGTAACCAATGGACTTTAAAATTGATTGGGATAGTTAAGACATTACTTTCTTTACTAAATTTTCTTCTGACTGGTTGATGTTAAGTAATTTTCCCTCTGACCTGTGACATTTATATTTTAATTCTGTTAATATTGCTGTACTTGAACAAAAGTGTTTACTTAAGATTTGTGAATCCTTGTTCATTATATGTTCAAGGAAATCCCTAGCTACAGCCCCTAGTGTCTGAATAATGATGTCATCTCTGACCCTAACTTTTGCCTGAAGTATGCACTGTAAATCAGTGTTGTCATTTAATAAACCCAGAAATAATTAGGCATTTCATCATAAAACCAGAGAGCCTAAAGGAAATAAAGATCTTGACATTTATTTTTTCTTTTGTTTGTTCTTTGTTTTTTGTTTTCTTTACTTTTATTTTCTTATCATATTTATTTTTTCATTTTTTGAGAAAAAGGAAAAAGAAGTTTTATTGCTTTGCTAGCAAAGGAGAAACACAGGGGACTTCTGTCCCAGAGGCTGTGATTCTGTCCATCAGCAGGAACAAGGAGGCTTTTCAAGAGGTGATTCAAAGGCTACATTCCATGTTGGTGTTATAATTCACTTGTTAATTTGGGAGATAGTCATTTCTGAGATCTGCTGGTGCCATCCCCAAAGCCTGGATTACTTCTTTCCTATGGTGGATGTGTTCTCAAGAACAGGTAAATCTGCCTAAAATAGGGAAGAAAGGTAATCCTGTTTCCCCTGAGATTAGGGAAGAGGAGAGATTAGAGAGGAGCAGGGAGAGAGGAAGAGAAAGAAACATGTGCATTTAAAAAATAAGTTATAGTAGCAGAGCAGCATGGGCTAATTCAAAGCATAAAGTGGACCATTGTTACAACTTCCCCACTATCAATTTCTATATTCCATTTCTATGGAAAAATGGGCGATGACATGTCCCAAGGTGCTTCCTACTGAGAGAGGATGAAGTTGGGGAAAGTAACCCAAAGTCCTTGTTGTCTGTCAGTTGGGGCATAGACTGTTAAGGGTATTCAGCATCACATCAGTCCAGAGGTCCACAGTGGCAGATGGCAGGTAACTGGACAAGGCATACATAGGGCAGGAATTATGCTAAGACAATAATAAACAAGACAACAAAGCATTACTTTTTTGTACACAATTAACACGAAAGCAATCAGTATTTCAGCCAGTCTCTGAAAACCAGGAAGACAGTAATTCATAATCATATCAGTGAAAAACAGATCAAGTTTATCCATGTAGAAATAGTTAGAAAGCTTTGTAAATCTATGAGATCAGGCTCAAATTAAGTCAGGACAAACTTGCGACTCTAGAGTCCTTTGTGATCATTTTTATTAGGCACTCCCTATAAGAACCCTTCTTTTATACCATCCAGCCTTACTTACTTTTGGTAGGGCTGACACAGTGTACATCTTAAGTTACATTAAAAAAATATTGTTTTTCTTTTTAAATGTTTATGTAGGAATGTGCTTTGGCTATATTGTCCTGCCAGGTATTCTTAAATATCTAGTTGGTCAAAACCGACCTTGTTCCTATCTACTCCTAAGAGTCAGCTGAAATTCCTCAGAGATCACTCTTGGGGACGTGTGCAAAGCATCTTGGCTCTTTTAACTTTCCTCTACCACTGGTGCCATTGGCCAGGATGGGTCAGAGTCTTGCTGACCATATGTGGCTTCTTTTTTTTTTTAAATTTTTTATTTGTTTCAATTAGTTGCACATGACAGTACAGTGACCATCAGGGACATTTCCATCTCTAATAACCCTCCTCTTTTCAGAATGTATACTGGTTGGCTTCCTATTCTCTAAGGTCCTCTCAATCTCCCTGATTGGCAGATTGGGTGACTCACCAGAGTTTCAGGGCCCAGAGAGGGGTCCCATCATTCTCTGGGTCCTGGCTGACCTTAGAGGACAAGGACCAAAATATTGGCTACTATTTCCTTGGTCCTTTTACTTCCTTGACTTTGGTCTCCAAGTTTTTGATTTTAAACATCCAGCAGCCAGTTTCACCAGTCTTAAAGTGGAAATAAATGTTATAACTTAAATATCTATAATTTTATAGTTACCCCTTTCATTTAATTGGGGTCAGTATTAGTTCTGTGAGTCACCAATGCATTCTATCGGTCCTATAGGTAATAGTTTATTATGTCAGTTTAACTCAGGTTGTTTTATTAGAAGCATTACTTCTGCAAAACACTAACAGACAACAGTTCTAAAGTTTACAAGGAAAACAACATGAAATTAGCAGAGAAAAAAAAATTCCATTTGTGTAATAGCTACAAACCAAGTAAAATGATTTTTATAATCTTAAACTCTTACTTAGTTATATATTATATCCCCTGTTTATTTTGAGATCACAGTAATTTTTACAACAAAATTTGATTTTTGAATATAACTCTAAATGAGCTCAAGTCTAGCCTATTTTGGAGCCATTCTAACATGGAGTTGGGTGGGAAGCAGAGCCTTATCTCAGGTAAGGGGTGGGGAGGGTTCTTGACAAATAACATGATACAATATTACATCTAAAACATGAATCAAAAAGGCTAAGAGAGCTTTTAACTTTTTGTGGAAAAGTGGCAAAATGCTTTCATGTTTTACAATGTCACTTTTAAATAGATTAAGCTTTCCTTATTACCTTCCAAAAATACATTTAAATTTGTATTCCAAAGTGAAAAGTCACTCAAAATTGTATATATAACTTATTGACAACAGGTTACTTTATCCAGCTATAAAACATCAAATGACATGAATAAATACTAATCAAATTTGTTATTTCTATATAAACCCAAGACCATTGCTACAGATAATTTTAGTTTGGAGAAGACCAACTTGGTAAAGTGTTCTCCCCTAAGATTTACATTTAACCAAGTTTAACTTTTAAAGTACAATTTAGAATAGAATCCAGAGTATACGGTAACAATAATCACAGGTCTACGTGGATTAGCAGGACTAGCAAAAATCAAAGGAAAGCCTTAAATCTCTTACACATTTAGGAAACAGTGTTAATGATCAGAAAAGGACTTAATCAAAGCAAACAGATATAAATAAGACAGGTCTTCAAATGACAGTGTGGCCCTTCTATATCAGATACCATGTATAAAAGAGAGGACTTACTGGTTATCTTGCTGCTAAACTTACATAAACTTTCATTTTAAAAACTTTTATTTAACACTTACACAAGGCTTAGACAGATACAGTTCTCAGATATACACACACACACACACACACACACACACACACACCAAGTCACATATATTTAGGGTTTAACATTTATTTTTAAAGTAAAATATTAAGTTAATGTGGTGTAAATAAATTTCAGATGATTTCAGTCCTGAAGATAAGTATAGAGCAGGAAAATGTCTGATTTTATGTTAAAGGGAGATATTTGAGAGCTTTGGGTTATGGCAGTTGACAGTGGCATCTCTGGCTGGGTGAGCTGGTACACACTTATAATACCAGTGATTTTCAAGGCAGAGGCAGAGAACTGCAAATTCAAAGTCAGCTTCAGCAATTAAGACTCTCTCTCAGAATAGAATAGAATAGGCTAGGGATGTAGCTCAGTGGTAAAGTGCCCCTGGGTTTTCTCCCCAGGATGGGAAAGGAAGGAAGGAAGGAAGGAGGGAGGGAGGGAGGGAGGGAGGATCTTTTGAACTTTCTTTCAGAAGTTATTCTGTGGCTTTTATATTTGAGCAAGGTGTAGAGGTATGTCTTATTGGTGTAACACTTGCCTTTCATTCACAAGGCCCTAGATTCTGTTCTTGGTATCACAGAAAAAAATAAATAAGAAAGAATAAGGGAAGAAAACCACTGAATTTGAGCAAAAGAGGGCATACTGGGATCTGAGACTGGATGAGTTAGCTCTTTCCCTAAGCCTAAATCAAAAATTGCTCCGACACTTATAAGTAAGTAAAATCTTTCACTCAAGAAGATACAACTGGGGCTGGGGTTATAGCTTGCCTCACAAATGTGAGGCACTGGGTTCTATCTTCAGCACCACATAAAAATAAATAAGTTAAATAAAGGTACTTTGTCCATCTACAACTAAAAATATTTTTTTAGAAGAAAAGCTAGAACTGGCTGGGTGCAGTGGTGTGCACCTGTAATCCCAGTGGCTTGGGAGGCTAAGTCAGGAGGATTGCAATTTCTTTTTTTTTTTTTTTCTGTTTATTTTTTAGTTTTCGGTGGACACATTTTTTTTTTTTTTTTAAAGTGCTGAGGATCGAACCCAGCGACCCGCGCATGCCAGGCGAGCACACTACCGCTTGAGCCACATCCCCAGCCCCAGGAGGATTGCAATTTCAAAGCGAGTTAAAAGCCAGCCTCAGCAAAAGTGAGGTACTAAGCAATCTTGAGACCCTGTCTCTAAATAAATAAAATATAAAATAGGGAAAATCCCATCATCATTCCTTATAGAAATAGAAAAAGCAATAATGAAATTCATTTGGAAAAATAAGAGATCCAGAATAGCCAAAGCAATCCTTAGCAAGAAGAGTGAAGCAGGAGGCATCATAATACCAGACCTTAAACTATATTACAAAGCTATAGTAACAAAAACGGCATGATATTGGAACCAAAATAGACATGTAGACCAATGGATACAGAATAGAAGACACAGAGAAAAACCTATATAAATACAGTTATCTCATTCTAGACAAAGGCACCAAAAACATAAATTGGAGAAATGAAGCCTCTTCAACAAATGCTACTGGGAAAACTAGAATTCCATATGCAGCAAATGAAAATAAACCCCTATGTTTCACCATGCACAGACTCAACTTAAAGTGGATCAAAGACCTAGGAATTAGTCCAGAGACCCTATGCCTAATAGAGGAAAAAGTAGACCCAATCTTCATCATGTCTGATAAGGCCCCGACTTCCTTAGCAAGATTTCTAAAGCGCAAGAAATAAAATCAAAGAATTAATGTGATGGATTCAAACTAAAAGCTTCTTCTCAGCCAAAGAAACAAACATTGAGATGAAAAGAAAGCCTACATTTGGGAACAAACTTTTGCCACATGCTTGTCAGATAGAGCGCTAATCTCTAGGATATATAAAGAACTCAAAAAACTTAACATCAAAAAAAAAAAATCAGTAAATGGGCTAAAGAGCTGAACAGATACTTCTCAGAAGAAGATATACATTCAATCAACAAATATATGAAAAAATGTTCAACATCTCTAGTAATAAAAGAAATGCAAATCACAGCTACTCTAAGACTTCATCTCAAGCCAGTCAGAATGGCAGTTATTAAGAATACAGACAACAATAAATGTTGGTGAGGATGTGGGGGACATGGCACACTCATACATTGTTGGTGGGACTGCAAATTGGTACAACCAATCTGGAAAGCAGTATAGAGATTCCTTAGAAAATTTGGAATGGAACCACCATTTAATCCAGCTATCCCACTCCCTGGTCTACCCCCAAAGGACTTAAAATCAGCATATTACAGTGATACAGCCACATCAATGTTTATAGCTCAATTCACAATAGCTAAACTATGGAAGCAACCTAGATGCCCTTCAATAGATTAACGGATAAAGAAACTGTAGTATATATACACAATGGAATATTACTCAGCATTAAAAGAGAATAAAATTATGGCATTTGCAGGTAAATGGGTGGAGTTGGAGAATATCATGCTAAGTAAAGTAAGCCAATCCCCAAAAACCAAAGGCTGAATGTTGTCTCTGATAAGTGGATGCTGATCCATAATGGTGGGGGAGGCATGGGAAAAATGAAGGAAGTGTGATTAGGCAAAGGGGAGAGAGGGGAGAAGAGAGGGGATCGGGGCAGGAAAGATGGTGGAATGAGATGGACATCATTACCCTAGGCACATGTGTGACTGCACATATGGTGCAACGCTACATCATGTACAACCAGAGAAATGAAAAGCTGTGCTGAAATTGTGTACAATGACTCAAACTGCATTCTGCTGTCATGTATACCTAATTAAAATTAATTAGGGGCTGGGCATGTGGCTCAAGCGGTAGCGCGCTCATCTGGCATGCGTGCGGCCCAGGTTCGATCCTCAGCACCACATACAAAGATGTTGTGTCTGCCGAGAAGTAGAAAAAATAAATAAATATTAAAATTCTCTCTCTCTCTCTCTCTCTCTCTCTCTCTCACATCTCTCTCTCTCTCTTTTTTAAAAAAAGTTTAAAATTAATTAATTAATTAACAATAAATAAATAAATACAAAATAGAGCTGGGGATATGGCTCAGTGGTTGAGTGCCCCTGAGTTCAATCCTTGGTACCAAAAACAAAAACAAAAGAGAGAGAGAGAGAAAGAAAGAAAAAGAAAAAGCTGTAACTGTCTGAGCATGTCCTAAATGTTTCATTATAGGTGTGGTCCACTAATTGATCTTTGTAAAGGCCCCCATGTAAGACACACTGGAAAAATTAAAACCATAAAAATTTTCAAGGTAAGGATTGATTATTTTAATTTATAAACACAGCAAACTTAAGTTGAACTAGATAATAGATTTCACTCATATCTTTTCTAGCCTGAACATCACAATATTTTACATATTTCCTTCTTATTTGCCTAATATATTTTAGAATTTTGATAATTAGACCACTACATATAGCTTATGTATAATTTAACTTTATGTAAAGTATTCTAATGCATTTCTTTTTTATATGATATTTTAAAATACTGTTACAGATGCAACACTATCTCCACAAGTATCACAGTTGTGGATTTAATCAACTGCAGAATGAAAATATTTGGAAAAAAATTGCTTCTATACTGAGCATGTACAGATTTTTTTTGGTCATTATTTCCTAAATAATACAATCTAACAACAATTTGCATAGAATTTGCTTTGCTTCAAAGTATGCAGGAAGATGATTTAAAGTATACACATAGCTTTTATGCCAGTTGTAAACCAATTTTATTAGGGACTTGAACATCCTTGGATTTCAGTATCCATGGGAGGTCCTGGAACCCCCTGCAGATACTGAGGGACAAACTGCATTGTGGTTTTCTTGAATCACCCAAAGTGAATAAGAACATTTGTTTGCATGTGAGAATAACGTGCTGTAGGAAAAGGAGAACCAGGGAATGTGATGGTGTGATGTGGAATCAGAGGTGTGGGAGTGACTCTGCAGTCCCAACCTTTCTGGGTCTTGTTTTCCTCACAGGTGAAATACAGGACTGCATGATAGCTTTACCTTTTAAAGCTCTTAATCCCTGTGCTACATCAGTGAGGCTAAGATGCCCTTCCCTGGACTTCCTGTCTCTTCTGCTCCCCTCTTGGTGATTGCAGTTGCTGTTCAACTTTCCCACCATCCAGCTTCCTGTCACTTTGATTCCTAGAATCCACAAGAGACTCTTTATGTCATTTACTGATTAGTGCTATCATTTGGGATGGGATAGTTTAATTAGAATCAATTTCAGATTCTTCCCAATATTACCAAAAAAAAAATATATAAGCATTGTGGATGTTATGGTGGAAAATTATGTACTATCTTAGAGTGATTTTATTTGTAACCAAATGTTTGATGTGTTTACCAAAATCTTATTTGGTGTTTATTTGGTGTTTAGAATTCCTCAACATACTGGGAGGGAAACCCTGAAATGGAAACGTTGCAGAGGATCTATGGGATATCCTTTCCTGATAACAAAATGATGAAAACCTGGGAAAAGTTCCAAGAGGAAGCCAAGAATCGTGATCATAGGAAAATTGGGAAGGTATGCCCCCCATCCTCATCAGTACTAAGACACAAACATTCCTTTGTTGCCTTGAGTTTACATCTCATAAAACTAAATTTAAAAAATTATATTTCGCTGTCCTATTTTCTGCCTTCTGTTTTGCTGGCATTCATTGCCTGTTGTTGAGTTTTTTCATATTAATACCCCAAATACCTTCTAACCTCTTTCCTCCCTGTATCTTTTATTAGATTTTAAAAATTATACTGTTCTCTTATTTTTATCATGAAATTATTTTTTAAAGTTGTTTACACTCCATAGACTGCATTGTATTTATGAGTCAAGGGCAGGTGTAGAAAGAAGGATGAGATTTGAAATCCGGTAGACCTGGATTGTTAATCTCAATCCTGCCACTTATTAGCTTTGTTGTGATGGGCAAGGTATTCACTTATGAAGCTCCCTGCCTGTCCTTGTCTGGGGTAACCTTGCAGGTTGATGTGAGGACAGATGCAGGGGTAGCAGAAAGCCATGAGAAAGAATGACCATCATCATTTGAAGCACACCTCCTGTGGTGGAATGTTCTGGTCTTTTTTAAAGCCATGTTTTTCCACGTAAGATACGTGTTTAAGTGTAACCAAATAAAAAATTATCATTAAGTGAGAAAGATGACAGAAAAGCCAAATTAAAGACTAAGTAATCATAAGAACGAATTGTCATTTTACATGTGGTATTATGGATGGTTAGGGATAAGTACTGAGAGTCTTTGGAATGCCTATTATTAGAATATGGGAAGATAACTGAGTATGATTTATTGTTAGCATATCATGTGTATGTGATGAATATTATTTGACAAAAGATGAAATTTGAAATGCAATTATTATTTTAATCTAGGAACAGGAACTTTTCTTTTTTCACGATCTGAGTCCTGGAAGCTGTTTTTTCCTTCCCCGAGGAGCCTTCATTTATAATACACTTATGGATTTCATACGAGTAAGTTTAAATTTTTAAAATGTTTTATTTTTGTTCAACTACATTTTACATTGTACTATTTTCTCTCTTATTTAATTTACATTTTACTGTTTTCTCTTATATTTAAATTATTTCCATTAATTTTATTTCAGTAACAATTATAAAAATTTTTGAACTTAAAAGAGAAATAATAGATTGTGTCTTCTAATAAAAATATGTAGCTGATTTTTGTTTTCTCTAAATGCTGTTTGATTTCATGAAATGTTTGTCATATAAATCTGTAGAACTTTAAGATGAGCATTAGACCAGGTATGGATTTCCCTGTGAAAGAAGGAAGGGGAAAGTATTCCTCTCTGGCACAAAATGCTAAAGTGGAAAGCATTGCTTCTCAAAAGATGGCCTCTGTTGGCTACTGGTTGTTTGACAGCCTTAGAGGAAAGGGTAAAAAAAAAAAAATTCTGTAAAATACCTACCTTATAATAACACAAGTTCATAGATTGGAAAGTCGTTAGTATTTGCGTAATTAGGACTGTAGGGATTTTGTTCAGAGGTGATTCATGTGGTCTACTAGGATTACCCTTTCATTTTCACATGACTTATTTATCTTATGACTAAAAGTTATAATGATGCACTGCATAACAATGTTTGAATCAGTGACAGACTATGTGATGATGATTCTGTAAGATTATATTGCCATAATACAATGGACAGTTATGGTGCAATAAGATTATATTGGAGCTATCTTAGTTTGTGTCAGTGTCCTCTGTGATTTCCTTACAAAGAAATAGCATTTTTCAGACTGTAACCCTGTCATTAAATAATACAATTATACCTAAAATGTTTAATTAATTCATTTCTATGTGCCTATCACTAATTTACCCTAAGACAGTCTCTTAAAAATCACAAAAACCTCTTGCAGCATATTCTGTATGCTTCAAGTAGTTGCTCAGGAGTGTGTGTTTGTTTTTTTGCAGATTTGGGCCTCTCCAGAATTAACTTGATGCTAAGATTCTTTTTGTTTTTAAACTGTCTAAACAGATTTTTAAATTTGTTTTAATTAGTTACACAGGATAGTGCAATGATCTTGACATATCATACATTTGAATCAGATGGGATATAATTTCTCATTTTTCTGATGTACAGGTTGCAGAATTACATTAGTCATGCAGTCACGTATATACCCACAGCAATAATAATGTCTATTTTATTCTGCTGTCTTTCCATTCCCCACTTCCCCTCCCCTCCCCTCCCATCACTTCTCTCTACCCAATCTAATGTGACCCACTTCTTCTTTTGTTTTTTCCCTCATATCGTCATACCTGTATTCTGTATAACAAAGGGGGTCTCCTTCCCTCTTCCATGCAATTCCCATTCTCCCTCCTTTTCCCTCCCACCTCTCTTCCCTATCTAGAGGTAATTTTCTTCTCATGCTCTTCCTACCCCATTTTGAGTCACCTCCCTTATATCAGAGAAGACATTCGGCATTTGTTTTTTTGGGATTGGCTAACTTCACTTAGCATAATCTGCTCTAATGCCATCCATTTCCCTGCAAATGCCATGATCTTATTATTTTTTAGTGTTGAGTAATATTCCATTGTGTATAAATGCCACATTTTTTTATCCATTCGTTCATTGAAGGGCATATAGGTTGGCTCCACAGTCTAGCTATTGTGAATTGTGCTGCTATAAACATTGATGTGGCTGTGTCCCTGTAGTATGCCGTTTTTAGGTCTTTTGAGTATAGTCTGAGAAGAGGAATAGAATAGCTGGGTCAAATGGTGGTTCCATTCCCAGTTTTCCAAGGAATCTCCACACTGCTTTCCAAATTGGCTGCACCAATTTGCAGTCCCACCAGCAATGTATGAGTGTACCTTTTTCCCCGCATCCTCACCAGCACTCGTTGTTATTTGACTTCATAATGGCTGCCATTCTTACTGGAGTGAGATGGTATCTTAGAGTAGTTTTAATTTGCATTTCTCTGATTGCTAGCGATGGTGAGCATTTTTTCATGTATTTGTTGATTGATTGTATATCCTCTTCTGAGAAATGTCTGTTCAGGTCCTTGGCCCATTTGTTAATTGGGTTATTTGTTTTTTTGTTGTTTAACTTTTTGAGTTCTTTGTATATCCTAGAGATTAGAGCTCTATCTGATGTGTGAGGGGTAAAAATTTGTTCCCAGGATGTAGGCTCCCTATTCACCTCACATATTATTTCTCTTGCTGAGAAAAAAAACTTTTTAGTTTGAATTCATCCCATTTGTTGATTCTTGGTTTTAATTCTTGTGCTATAGGCATCTTATTAAGGAACTTGGGGCCTAACCCCACGTGATGGAGATTAGGGCCTACTTTTTCTTCTATTAGATGCAGAGTCTCTGGTTTGATTCCTAGCTCCTTGATCCATTTTGAGTTAACTTTTTTGCATGGTGAGAGATAGGGATTCAATTTCATTTTGTTGCATATGGATTTCCAGTTCTCCCAGCACCATTTGTTGAAGATGCTATCCTTTCTCCGTTGCATGCTTTTAGCACCTTTGTCTAATATAAGGTAGTTGTAATTTTGTGGGTTGGTCTCTGTGTCCTCTGTTCTGTACCATTGGTCTACCAGCCTGTTTTGGTGCCAGTACCATGCTGTTTTTGTTACTGTTGCTCTGTAGTATAGTTTAAGATCTGGTATAACTATACCACCTGTTTCGCTCTTCCTGCTTAGAATTGCTTTAGCTATTCTGGGTCTCTTATTTTTCCAGATGAATTTCATAATTGCTTTTTCTATTTCTGTGAGGAATGCCATTGGGATTTTGATTGGAATCACATTGAATCTGTAGAGTGCTTTTGGTAATGTGGCCATTTTAATAATATTAATTCTGCCTATCCATGAGCAAGGTATATCTTTACATCTTCTAAGGTCTTCTTCTATTTCTCTCTTTAGGGTTCTATATTTTTCATTGTATAGATCTTTCACCTCTTTTGTTAAGTTGATTCCCAAGTAGTTTATTTTTTTTGAGGATATTGTGAATGGGGTAGTTTTCCTCATTTCCATTTCAGAGGATTTGTCACTGATATATAGGAATGCCTTTGATTTATGGGTGTTGATTTTATATCCTGCCACTTTGCTGAATTCATTTACTAGTTCTAGAAGTTTCTTGGTAGAACTTTTTGGATCTGCTAGGTATAGGATAATATCATCAGCAAATAATGCTAGTTTAAATTCTTCTTTTCCTATATTTATGACTTTAATTTCTTTCATCTGTCTAATTGCTCTGGCTAGTATTTCAAGAACTATGTTGAATAGAAGTGGTGAGAGAGGGCATCCCTGTCTTGTTCCAGATTGTAGAGGGAATGCCTTCAGTTTTTCTGCATTTAGAATGATGCTAGCCTGAGGCTTAGCATAGATAGCTTTTTACAATGTTGAGGTAAGTTCCTGTTATCCCTAGTTTTTCTAGTGTTTTAAACATAAAGGGATGCTATATTTTGTTGAATGCTTTTTCTGCATCTATCGAGATGATCATATGGTTCTTATCTTTAAGTCTATTGATGTGGTGAATTACATTTATTGATTTCCGTATGTTGAACCAGCCTTGCATCCCGGGGATGAAACCCACTTGATCATGGTGTATGATCTTTTTGATATGTTTTTGTATCTGATTTGCCAGAATTTTATTAAGGATTTTTGCATCTGTATTCATTAGAAATATTGGTCTGAAATTTTCTTTCTTTGAAATCTTTGGTTTGGAATCAGGGTGATATTGGCCTCGTAGAATGAATTTGGAAGTATGCCCTCTTTTTCTATTTCCTGAAATAGTTTGAAGAGTATTGGTATTAGTTCTTCTTTAAAGGTCTTGTAAAACTCTGCAGTATATCCGTTTTGTCCTGGGCTTTTCTTGGTTGGTAATCTTTTGATTGCTTCTTCTATTTCTTCACATGATATTGGTCTGTTTTTCTTTTTTTTAAAGATACAGGCTTTTTTTTTTGAGAGAGAGAGAGAGAGAAGAGAGAGAGAATTTTTTAATATTTATTTTTTAGTTTTCGGCAGACACAACATCTTTGTGGTGCTGAGGATCGAACCCGGGCTGCACGCATGCCAGGCGAGCGCACTACCGCTTGAGCCACATCTCCAGCCCCGATATTGGTCTGTTTAAGTTGTGTATATCTTCCTGACTCAATCTGGGCAGATCATATGACTTAAGGAATTTATCAATGCCTTCACTATCTTC